CCATCACTTGGCCCCCCCCCCCCCCGCCGAAAAAATTCGTCCCTACCTTTTCTTAATTCTGGATTTATTTAAAAAAGAAGAAGCAGGCATGAGTATCGCATTGAAATGAGATGGCCAAAAATGCCTAATTAATACGAAAATGATTGAAATGAAGATGAAAACCTTTCAAGAAAGAATTCAGGGGTCCTGGTTTCCCTCATCTTTCATGACACATTTTGTGCATAGGGGTCTGTGGATGCGGAAGGATGCCGCCAACAATTCCCTGCCAGAAAAGTGTGCTGAAGTTAAGAAAGGCTGCGATAAATGTTTCATACGTGAAGAAACAGCTTGGAAGGTATGGCGGCCCTCAGCGTTGAAAAAAAATTACATTCCATAAAATAGGTGATGCTCCTGTACCACAATGAACTAATCGCTTCGAAAAATTTATTTTAACCAAATGGAAGAAGGGACACGGTTATAAATTGACCAAAGTGGTAATTTAAAAAAATCCAGATGGTAAATGATAGCAGTCGGAGGAGTTCGGAATCGCGACGATGATGCACATCGCCATCATGATGATCATCATCGTGTGATGACTTTCGTCGCCAAGTGATTATGTTTTGCGAAGTCGATCAACGATGACAGACCGGATTCACGGCCCACATCATAGGGTTCATTTTAATCGCTTTTAGAGCTCCGACGGGAACCTGCCAGACGTTCCATCATCTCCATCGGACGTGCATTAATTTTCTTCGAAGAATTTTCTCCCGCTGATCGAATTTGGTATTTCACGCTGTTGCATCCCATTATATCGCTGCCTCGCCTCGCGAATTTTCCGTAAACATTGCTGAGCCTTCGAAATCGGTAGTCTCTCTGGGAGGAAACCGACTTTGGGCCAGCAGATTCAAGGGGAAAAGTTTTTCCGATTGCCTCATTTAGGAGGCCTTATTTACAGAATCCATGCAATTGCACGGGATCTAAAATACCTGTCCTAGTATATCGCCTTCACAGTTCAAGATCACCACAAGTAAAAATTTTCAAAGTGTTTCTTTACAAAATTACTGTTAATGACTGCAGTAATGACACAACCAGCCAGAAATTTATAGTGATGTAAACACTTGAAACTAACCTATACATTGGCAGTTGGCATTTTCCGGCAATACAAGATTTTTTAAATGTGGAACAAAAAATTTAAAATGCAATATCTCTAAATTAGATTTTCCGAGTTGTAATGGTCTTGAGTTGGGAAGGCGATATGATAAGGAAAAACTCACTCGAAGAACTCCAGCCGGCCGGACTGGAGGTTGCGCTGCCAGACGGCGCCGAAGCCTCCCTGTTCGCTCATTCCCTTGATGATTACGAGCATGATGGAGCCGTACATGATCATCATCTGCACCGTGTCCGTCCAGATCACCGCCTTCATCCCTCCCTTGCGAAGGTAAAAATTATGTTATTTTTCCTTTCCGCCTGGATGCGACTTGATTGAGGCTTGATTCATTAGAAATATGACGCACCACGACGGTGTAGAAGGTGCTCACGCCGAACATGAGACACACGGCCAAGTAGACGCTGATACCCGTCACTAGAATGGGAAAAAAAATTGGAGCACTTGTTCAGTATTCTTGTATGTACTCCCCACTAGGGAGTCAAATTTCAAATAATTGTAGCTGAGAAATTGAGCATTTAATCATACCTTGGCTGAGAGCCACGGAAGGTGCATACACCACGATCGCCATGTACATCGTCTGTGCGAAAAAACGCATCGAAGTAGAGATTCTCTTAAAATGCAAGGAAACCAACGCCAGAGATTACTCCATAGTAAAAGTTGCTTACCGTTTGAATGGAAAAAATTGCTGAGCCGACGCATCGAATCGTCTTGCCGAATCTCAGCTCAAGGTACTAAAGAGAAAAAAAAAATTCCACAAAAAAATAAAGACAAAAGAGGAACAAGTGTTTGAATGTGTGACATGGAACGAGGAAGATTTTATCCTCTCCAGCCCCCGATGGGGATCGGGGCACACTTTTCGAGCCTCAAAGAAAAAGATAATTGCGCTTCCGGAAGAGATCGAAGTTTAAATGAGGGAAGGAAGAATGGGATAAAAGAAACGCTATTTAGCAATTTCCATGCAGATTTGTTGCGACGTTTCCTTTGGTCTTCCGAAGAGGTTACTCCACCCAATAGCACGTTTCTGCGATCTTTTGACTTCGTGATTTCACGATGAGGTGTCATCCGCAGCGAAACTAATTTTATTCATTAAAGGACCCAATCACCCTGCAAATAACTGCTGAGCCAAAACAAAACAGGGAACGAGGGAATTCTATGAAGCAAGACCTTCCGGAATGAAGTCAACAGCCTCCGTATTATACGAAGAAGGCAAGGGAAATCGGAAGGATGCATTGCACTACCCTTTTCACCAGGGGAAATAGACCAGAGAACAGCAGAAAAATTCTGGAAATCTCCATCTGTCGAGACCTTCACTCGACCCACCCTGGTTGCCCCTCGTGAGGGGAATGAAGTAAGGTCCTCGATAACGAAGGCCCTCAGTCCGACGGACCCCTAAATCCTGTCTGCACACGAAAGGCTGTCAGGGAAGTCCTTTCTCTTAGTTTCTCGTCTGCCGTTTCTCTCCCAATTGAGGAATAATTTTTAATTCCTCATTTCCTAATCTTTTTGCGAAACTTGTCCGATGTTGAGTTCATTTTGCGTCGCCGATGGATGTAGAGACTGGGTCAGATCCCACTCGCCTGACTCTCCCAGTCAGGGCCGGCCCTGACTATTTCGGCGCTCTGCCCAAAGAGACTCCTAACGCCCCTCCCCCCCCTCCCTTCCCCCCTCCCCTCGGAAGGGAGAAGGGCCAATCCCTAGCGTCCAAAAAGACGCTGAAACGGAAGGCGTTTCCACTTGTGAAGTGTAACTGAGGGTGGCATATATTCTGGCACGTTTTGGCGCCCCTGGTGAATTTGCGCCCTGTGCGGGGGGACATGTGGTACATGCCTATGGAGGGACCTGCTCCCAGTGCATACGAACGGTTGTGAAAGATCTGCAGGAGAGCGAAACGGCCTCTGTCCGGTTTCGGAGGAGTTCTGGCATCCGAGTTCACAGCAACGCACCATTAGAAGTAACAGATAGGCAGAAACTCAGTTACCAGAATCGCACACCGAAGGATTCGATGGGGAAGAGTAGTCTCGTTTCGGCTAAGGGGTCTAAGGGGTCTATGAGAGGGGTCACGTGACGAAATTCTTCTAATCAGTAGCGCCAAAAGCCGGTTAGGCGCCAGTCAAAGCCTGCCCAGATCATTTTCATCCTCAATGGAGGTCGCACGTTCGAGCCCGTTAAAGGTAGAACGAGGGCGGGGATGGGAGCTACCGTGGATTCCCGCGATCCGGATTCGAGACCGGTCCGCAGTGACGAAAGCGCCGTTCGGGAACCCTGTCAGGCCGCAACCCGCAAGTCCTCGAAGCACCTCGATCCCCGACGAGGGGTGTTTAAGGATGCACATCTGTTTTCTTCGTTGGAGAGAAATAGCCCAAATGTATCAATATTTACAGGCTCTAAGTCCGCGAGGATCGAAGATTTGTTGGGGGTCAAACGTAGAGGGCTCGGGCAAGCACAAAAAGAGGGTTTTAGGTACTGATTTTGCGAGGCGAATTCGATCAGACTTTAAAATATGTGGTCGGCAAAAATTCTAAAAACATTCCTATTTGTTGTCGTTTCCACAACTTTAGTGCTGGAATTGCATGTTTACGGCTATGCTTGCATGTATTTGGGCTTAATGATGAGACTTGGCGCACTCAAAGACCTTGATGAAGTAAGGAAGAGCATCAATTTCGGAGTTCTCGCGTAATTGGGAACGTGAGCCGCGAAGCTGCAAATTCCCATCGGTTAAACAGGGCTTAATCGAATAGTTTCGCATCAGGCACCCACCGCCCGTCGCGGAGTTCTCCATTTGGAGGCTGGAACCCGGAATGGGAACTTTCGCAACCGCAGAGCGGGCACGAGACAAACCGGAGAATTTCCTTCGTCTCTGCGTCGAATCGAAACGAGATTCTTTCATCCGACGGGGTGCAGCGGCGACAGAAACGTAAATAATGGACGGGATTTTTTCGTTCACTCGAGCAACGGTGCAGACTTGCCTCGTAGGCCGAGGTGAGCCTCAAGTGATAGAAGATGGGCATGTAGAGATAGACGGCGGAGGCGACGGCGAGGACGTAGGCGACCCAGATCATCCAGAACATGATGCCGAAGCGGTAGACCTCCGCGGGCGTCCCCAGCATCGTTATGGCCGACTTGAAACTGCATCCCCAGAGAAACCCAGAGAAATGGAAATGATATGCGGTAAGAATGAAATGGTGGAGGTAGAGCGGGTTATGTACCCTTCACTCTGATGTTGGCAACGCATTGTTAAGTGGCGACAATTTTTCGCAAAAAAGGGAGCCCGACGGAAATACTTCCGAATGGGGAAGTTCTTTTCTCTATGTGGCAACTAAGTACTGAGTACTGCCCAGTAACTCATGTGCTCCAAGGAAAAAACTGGCTCTGGGATGTAATCCGCCTTCGAAGCCGGCTGAGTCAAGAAGTTTCGCACAAATTCGGCTTTGCCGTGTCGAAATAATAAATAATAATAATTCAATCCGTTAGTGAACGGTCCCTGGCAAAGTCTAAACTAAATCTGAATCTAATCAGCATCTAAACAAAATATAATCTATAAGCAATGCAAAAAGCCATCAAGTCTATCCCTCGCTAATGATAAGACGTTGAGCTGAATATGAGTCTGCTTCTGGATCATATTTAGACGAGATTTAGTTTAGGTCTAAGAGACTGCTCCGACCCAGTCTTAACGCTGACTAAAACGTTTAAAAGGTTGAGATTTAAAACGTCCAGAATCAAGCATTCCCGGTCACACATCCCAGCCGTTTCATACCAAGCGATATACTATAATCATTTGGAGTTTCCACTCTGCAAATCCATTTTTTTCCGTTTCCGTTTCCGTTTCCACGTGCAATTTTTTGGGCGATTAGAAGGGCTTGCCCTTCACGTGATTTGGCGAATTTTCCCTCGAAAAAATCCCGCTTCCTTGAAACTATGACACACTGGTTCGCCGAACGGAGCGGAGGCGAGGAACAGGCCAGTCTTTTTCCATTATAAAAGGATAAATAAATAAAGGACCGGAGCGAAGAGCTCCGATCGATTGAGCTTTCGGATTGGAGTCTCAATTGACAACGGCTTTCGCGACCCCGCGAACGCGAATGAAAAACAATCTGGGCGGATGATTGCCAGCTGCGGCCTCGACGCGATGAATGGGATCTCGTGTCGATCTTGTTACGCGCCAGGGATGCCGGATCCGTGGCGAGACGCGAGCTGCCTTTTGCTCTTTCTTGGATTCTCTATATTTCTACTCTGGGGAAATGAGATCGCGGGAATCGGCTTTCCGGTCGCATTCTCGATCGGGTTCCGCGCGGGTTCGGTTTTCGAGGCTCAATGCGGTGAGGCTCGTGCTCGGGCTCGATCATTTTCGCCGGGATCTGTGAGTGGCTTGTCTCCTCGTCATGGGTAATTAATACCAATTTACATTGAAGAGACAACGATGTTCGAACTATCTCACAGATGCCATCCTCTGTCGCCATCAGAGACTTTTGCATGGCACTGTCGAGAGAGCCGGAATGATCCAGGCTTGGACGGATAAATTGCCATCGTGGCAGTTGCCATCGTGGCAGTTGCCATCGTGACAGATGCCATCGTGACAGTTGCCATAGTGGCAACTCTGGAAAGTAGTTCTTATTCAGTCCTCAAACTTTCTTCGCGCCCTGCTCCGCTCCCCCCAGTGTGCAATCAGAAAGGAGTCAACGTCATGAGATTGGTTTTCAAACTTAAATTCACCTCGTAAACAAGGAATACAAATTGACTTTCTCCCTCATCACACGGCACCGATTCCTCTTGTTCTAGGGAAAAAACGCGCACAAATTCAGTGATGCGGAAGCCATGACGCAATCGCCGTCATTTCCCTTCCAATTTCGCGTGGGCCCTGTCGTCTGATTTCCTCAGTGCAAACAGGAAGATACTGGAAAATACTATTAAAAATACTGAAAAATACTGAAAAGGGGGGGCAAAAGGAATCTAACCCTTTTCAGACAACGAGATGTCGGCGGCACCGTCCAGAAAATGTCCTGCACATCCACGAACCTCCATGCGTAATAATTGGCCTAGCCAGAACCTCTGAATTCATTCGTGACAGGTTTATTCTCAACTATCATTAGGCAAAACCTACTTCAAAAATCACTTTAAAAAAACTTACTCAAACTCTTCAAATAATTTTTGCTCCAACGCATTATCTCCTCCTGTCCAGAAAATCAAGATTAGGCTCAAAATTTGAAGCGATCTCACGTAGCTCGCTTGTAATGCTTAGACGGGAACAGAATGTTTTTTTTTTTATACCCAGAATAAGAGAAGGTAGAAATATCTATATCTTTAGTGCAGCAACAATACTGACCATGACATTCCTCCTTGATAGACACTCTCGTAATAAAAAGTGCATACTAGGAATACGCAATGAGATCAATATTCGACTCGTACTATTCCCGGTATATTCTTTCATCAAGAGCCATTACTTGCTGACGGGCTAAGAGAAAAAATGCGCCAACACCCACGCCACCCTTCCCAGCTTCTCCCATGACTTCGCAAGTGAGTGTCGCTACGGGCTCAAGTTCGTCGTAACGCGAAAAAAAAGTCTGACTCGGGATTGCCAGATTCTGCTTTTGAATAACTCGTGCGTGGGATCCCTTACAAAATGTCCACCTCCAATCCACCAGGTCGAACAATCAGGTGGATAAGGGTTGGATTTGGAACCGGGTGGACGTCCCCCCGCCCCCTTGGAAATCCACCTAGTCATTCGCCCACATATATTTCGAGACAGGTGGATTTTCTCACGGGTGGACATCGCTCCAACAGGTGGAAATACCGCCTACGGGGACATCCACGGGGGAGGTGGACGTTTTGTAAGGGATCAAGATCCTCAGGGGAAATTTTTGGGTGGGTCCAAGGATATGCGTGCCTCTTTATTTTTACTTCAAAATTCTTTATTTTTTTAAGTATGGTACCGGACGATGTTGACTTACTGATTCTCTTTTCCATGCAAATATTTGCGTGCAAAAATAACACGTAACATTTCTTCTTGCACGATCAATTGCCTTTGGGGACCCAGCTGCAATCGGCATACAGCGGTAGACTGCCTTGCGAGACGAGCCCCTTACGGGAACTCCATATTCAGATTTCATTGGCGATATCAAATATGGTCATACAGGGGTGCTTTGCTCGGAATGTACATGGTAAAAATAAAAATGATATACAGTATGGGAGACTGTATTTGGAAGCTGTGCAGTTCATATAATGTTTTGGCCATTCTTAATGAATATGGAGCTATACGTGGTTCATATATAAGCCCCTTATATGGTGCTTAGTTGCAATGTATATGGCACATATAACAATTTGGTGTGTTTTGATCATTCTTAATATACAGGTCCCCTATACGGTTCTTAATTTGCAATATAACTAGATGGCCCCCGCTTGCATTATTAATGGCAGATTGAGGCAGAGACTCAGAGGCAGAGTCACTCAACATCTTTTTGCTTTTGTGACTCACCTGACAAGGGGAAACTCACTTCCTCTATGCATTGAGCAAGAATTATCTGGAGTCTCCTTAAGCTAGGTTAGGCCTCTCAACATATGCATCGATTAAAACGACTTCATTCCTTCGGTTTGTACGTGGGAAATTAGTGAGTTGAGGGTGAAACCTTCTGCAGAACCATTCATTAGCATTTGGGGAATCGGGAGACATATAGCGGCGGGATGAGCGCGACCTCGATTATANTGGGGAATCGGGAGACATGAAGCGGGGGGATGAGCGCGACCTCGATTATATTGTGAGAACTTTATATTTATTGAACAAACTGCTAGATGTCAGGCTATATGGAAGGCCTCAACGTGCATGCGTAGGCATCCAAGGACATTACATGGACAGAACAGTTTCCAAATATATTCTATATACAGTATTTTTCCCATATAGTTCATGTTAGTGTCATAAACATTGCAAACCTAGCACCATATATGGGGGTCTGTATATGAACCGTATATAGTTCCATATTTATTAAGAATGGCCAAAACATGATACGGACTGAACTGTTTCCAAACATGGCTAAATTCAATACTGTACAATCCTATACATACGCCTGTATTTGGAAGTTCCGTAAGGGTATGATCACTCCCGCGAATAACTTCTTAGCAAGGATCGTGTAGAAATGGTTCTAGGGATCACAAAACCAAGATTCTTGCCGAGTCCCATCCTTAATAGTTCAAGAGCTACCAAGTTATTATTATGCGTCATTATGTCAAATAGTTTTTGAAGCGAACTTAAAACCATTCCAAATGGTTTCTCGATCACCGAAAACCGCCCTGAAAGGGGTACCTACAGTGTACACCTCAGACCAGAATGGACTCCGAGCTGGTACTTGTCTGAAAAATATGTTTCATGAGACAAGCGATTTCGAGATGCTTAAGAAAGGAGGAGAGAGAGGTGAGATTGAATAAGAAGGGTGGATTTGACTAAAATGAAAGCGTACAGTTACAACATGATACCAACGATTATGGTCGAATCTAGGTTACAAATCTAGTCAAAATGAGATTTTTCGTCAATGTCATTTCGAGATGTAGAGGAAAGAAGGACGGCTTCTGTTGGTAAGGGAATTGAATGAAAAAACATCTTATGCGTATGTTTATCTCAAATAAAATATGGTCACACGGCCAAAAAATATATACCACTGGCTAGAGCAGACTCCAGGGCAGACAAATCTTGTTTAAACAGAATTTTTCGTAAACCGAACCATCCTCGAGATAAAGGAAGGAAGAGGGAGAAGCGAGGCTGTCCTCGACGGTCCACTTATGAGTATGGGAGTATGTAGCATTGTTTCTCCAGCTCAACGGCTCGCCGTTCGCAGCCAATCAGGAAGCGTTAGCGTCGTCACTGCTCTTGAGCGAAACTGGGAGATAGAGGAGTTAAACAATCAGTCTCGTTCTATTTGACGAGCCTTTGTGCGTGCGTGGAATCGGTATGGCCCGAACGGAAGGATAGTGAGTTGGCATTGGACACGATATCACTCGAGTGTAGAAGAAAAGCCAACCCTATCTGCTTTCCTTCAGCATCCAGACACTATTTAACCCTTCGGGGTCCACGCCCGAGTTATCTCGTGTTGGCCTCATGATGTAGGGTAGAAGTAACTTGGATGTCAGTGCTAACACATTCAAAATACTCGGACCCCAAAGGGTTAAAAACTTAGCGAACTTCAGGTAGAGGGATCGGAGGACCTGGCGGAATTCTTTCCTGAAGTGTTCAACTTTTCGGCAGTCCTCCCCTTTCCTCCTCTGTCTCTCCTTGTCTCCTCCGTGAGCCTCAACGAGTCAACAGATCGTTAAAAGGTACCTTCATAAAATACCTGAATCAGCTCGTACCGCACTACTGTAAGAGGGGTCCGATTGGTAAGAGCACAGGTGGTAAACCAAGAGGGATTTCGTTGAGAGTAGTCAACATAATGGAACTCCAATCAGATTAAAATCTCTGGATCCTGTGTTCACCTCCCATCTAACAACGACTCATTCAAGTTCCGCTATACGACACTCGAATATTTTCACGACGAAATCCCAACTGCAGAATTTGTAATCCCCCAAAAAATCCCAATTTGAAATAATATTGCCCGCGAAACAAAAGATAACACGAGGATGAATAAATATGGGCACTTCACAATATCGCCTCTCATGGACGTGGAAGAGAACCAGTTACTGAAGGGATTGAAGGGCATGATTTGAGCTCAACCCGAGCAGCGAACTTCCCAGAAATGGTAAAATCGGAAAGGATAATCATATTTTCGTTTGTTACTCTGAGAATCGTAATTCCAATGCAGCAGTTATTAAAACGTTATATGAGAGACTGGTGCTCGAAATTCTCTGCTGGCGCATGAATACACACTGTGCAGCGGCCTCCGAGGAAAGTTAGTGCCAGGATAGAGCCTGATGGGAGCACGCTCCCACAAGAGCGGGTTGCACTTCTACAGTAGCGTTTTGCTCGGATTCCATTGTTCAAGTGTTTCTTCATGGATCCTTACGTTGAAGACGGCCTCGCATAAGTGCCGACATGAAAGTTTCTCGCGTAAGAGGATCAGACAGGATTTTTTAGCACTCGCTTGAGGATATTGATAGACCCCATTTCGCGTAAAAGCTGTAATGAACATAAGTGGTCTATGCAAATGATATTTCACGCGACACATACGTGTGTACTTGCACATGTAATCCCTTCAAGACGTGAAAGTACTGCTACAATACGGGCTAATGTGTTTCAGTGTGTTGTGTGGGACTCACTAAAAGTTCGTTCGAGGCCAAGGGGATGATCGACTAAAAAAAATCAGACGGTCGCAAGAGGCGAGAATTCTGTTTTGACCAGCTTGTTTGCTCGACCATGCAGAAAAATATTGAGCAGTTTCGTTGGTCCAGCTGCTGAGCTTGAGAACATATCGACGCTCAAATTGCCGTGTGCATCTTTTTCAAGTGGCTCTGTCGACTCTGCAGACGCCAACAGCATCCCATGACATCTCATGGGATGTTCTTCTGATGCTGCCATGTTCTGCGCTCTCATAGCTCGCAATGTTCCATTGGCGGTTGCTTGCCCGAGAGTGACGTCACTTATGACTTGGTCGTGTCAAACGCTGACT